AGGGAGGCCAAACTATTTATCTCCAGGGGGACTTACATCCTTCAATTTGTACATGCCATCCCTATCTATTACTCGTTGTATCCAATGCTTCACCAAGCGAGATGTTCAATTTTTGTAGGCCTCAGTAGGAAAGAAGTTATTTTTTCCCAAGATGACTTGTCTCCTTCAACATTCACGAGCCAACTTTATTTGATTCCATTATGTGGCATAGACCCGACTACCTCTTTGTGAGAACTAGGTGTCTACGCCAGTTGAGTATGGCTGAGGCGAGGTTTATGGCAGAAGCCATCACCTCCATTAATAAATAACCAACCGACCCAACCATCCCAATCAAAGGGCAACATCATATTCTCAGAATCTACCCAAAGGTTCTTGTTGAGATTCTCCGAGGCTTATTGAATTGGGCATTACTCTAAAAGCCAATGAAGTCAATTAATTTTATCTAAAAGAAAGTTAAACACTTCGTCTTTGTCGAGGCCAATCAATTCTATTTAAATCTGTGGCCTTGGAAGTGCTTGGATTATTAAGTCGATTTGCTCTGTATTAGTCCAAGGCAAAATACTTCTACTATTAAGTGTAGTTATTTGAAATTGAACTAATATATTTTTGTACATATTCGAAGGGAAACACTTTTGAGTAAAATTGAGAAACGCAAATATAAAAGAAGAGACAGACTTGGAAAAAGATGCTTCAATCGGAAATTACAAAGTGATCGAAGCAATAAAGAAACAAAACTCAAAAGAAAAAACCACTAGCTCCTCAAAGGCAGGGGCGGAGGCAGGGGGTCCTGGGGGGACCCGGACCCCCCAATTTTTTGACAAATTTTTTTATTTTAAAATTTTATTTTTTGTATTTACCCTTTTGTCCTCAAATGAATAAAAAACTTGAACCCTACTAGTCCAAAAACTTAAACTTGAAAGGAACGCTTGTAATAAGGTATGATTTTACTAAATTAGAGATTAGTACTTTCTTTTATACGTTTTTTGATTTTTTTGTTAATAATGTACATTAATTTACGTTCCTTTGTTTCCTTTTTCCATCACAAAGTTTCAACTTCCTTCATTTTAACAGACAATGTTTAAAAAAAAAAATATCTTCGAGGGCAGCAGGGACCCCTGTACTCCGACGGGCTGGTTCCACTCCTGGTTGAACTCTTCGGTGAAAAATTAGCACTTAGATAGGGAAACTCGAAAAACCGGGTCCGGAGTATTAACGCGTTTCCTTTCAATGGAGCACTGTCCAACATAGTACAATCCACGTTACGCGATAATAATTGTTTCTTTTGTTTGTGTGGGTAAGTGCTGAAATACATAATAATATCCTTTGCCACATGTCCCTTATTTACAGCATAACCCAAAGACCACATGGCCTAAGCCTTAAAGTAGCAACAATCCTTAAAACTTTTTATAAATGAGTCTCCTTTCAGTCACATATATTTTTTGACGAGTTTCATAATTATTTTATTTTATGTATAAACAAATAAAAGTAAGATCCGATATGGTAATTTGCATGTTATCTGCACTTAACTTTCTCATCATTGGAGAGTGGCTTATCTCTCTTGTTGTGGTGGGACTGCAAATATACACTACCATTTTTTCTCAATATTGTCTAGTATCACACCACAAGCAGCACAATCAGAAATGTGGACATTCTACAGTTTGTTTCTTTATGCTATTTATTAGAAAAAATATTGGTCCTAACTCCACCAAACAAAATCGGCTTGTTAGGGGAGGATTGCCCTCATCTTATTAAATGGATCGTGTAAATATCATCATCCAATGTGGCACTCTAATACGCCCCTCACGCACAGCGTGTACCATGCCAAACAACTGCAAACAAATCGATAATGGGTGCACCCAATATTGCAAAATTGGATATGCTCTGATACCACATTAGAAAGGATGTTGAGCCTAATTCAACCTAACAAAACCGGCTTGCTAGGGGAGGATTGCTCTCACCTAATTAAGTGGATCATGTAAATATCACCAGCCAATGTGGACTCTAATACTATTAGAGAGTACTGGCCTTGGTTGAACTTAAGAGCATGTTGCGACATTCTAGAAAATTAAAGAGACACACAGTGTATAATACACGCTCGCAGGGGTTGTCGTTAAAATTTGCTAATCGACTGCCAAGAAAAACATTTACAAGGTCGGAAACTCCCTCTTTGAACTTTCGATACAACTCTGTTCATGCAATTTTTAAATAGAATATAAAACAATTTATACCTATGATAGAACTTTCAATGGACTCTCTGCATATAGTCACCGAAAGACCTTTGTGATAGATATGTATTTGAACTAAATTGATAGAACTTGATATGAATTAAAGCCACTTTCTGACTGATTTGATAGCCAAAAACCAAAAGATTTGCCTTATCAACTCACTTTTGATACAGTTCTATCACATTTACAAACACATTCTTTTTCTTTATTCAATTTGTTTAAAATCTCGTGATCTTCTCGAATTGTTCAATAATTAAATATGTGGGTAATTTTTTAAATATATTATTCCTTTAAGATTGTACCTTCTAAGTTTTACTTCAAAGAATATCTTTTGAAACTTTAACTTTCAAATGGATTAGGGTAAGTATTTCATGCAATATAACATTGAGCAACAAGACTACAGTGCTACTTGCTTGATATTCATGTTGTCCGCTAATATTTACATGAGAGTTTTCTTGGCACTCGCCCAACATAATTTATAGGGTGTTTGATAGATATTATTAAGAAAATAATGTATTTTAAATAATGATATGATGGGAAATGTGTAGTTAAAAAGTAAGGA